GTATACTTTAAGTACACAACTTTTCGACACCTAAAAAGGATACTTAAAGTATACTTAAATGAAAGTATACTTGAAGTATACTTAATCGGAAGTATACTTCAAGTATACTTAAAATATACTTAAAGTATACTCAATGCAATATGTTTATCAATCACTGAGACATGTCAGACTTGGATCAATTATATTGTAAAATCATTTATTGATATAACAAAAAAACTACCCTTAACTTAACGCAATACAAATGTACTAAGAAATTATAGAAAAATATATATAGCAAATCTTGCTGGAATAGGTTTCCACAACATAAAAATATACATTTTCTATTCCTACCAAGGGAACTCACCGCATTTGATTACCATAATATATTATTCTTCTTGATTTTAGTAAAATTTTCATTGACAATGAGATCATTGCAAGGAAGGTGCATGTATATTAACAGGTTTCTTTCTGAACTTTCTTTAACTCACTTGTACTTAACAATTATTGCTTAGAACTATCACACAATATTCTTCTTAATTTTAGTAAATGTTTAATAGACAAAAATGATTAGATCTGTACTCTTTGGCTACAAAGTAAAATGTGCCATTACCTTATTACAGAAATATGTCTACCTATTACGTACAAAAACTGGAACAAAATGCGATCTAACGAAAACAAGACTTGGGCTGCACTTTAGGCGCAGTAAACAGGCTTTCACTTTGTAAACCTTAAGGCTTAACTCGTGTGTCATTTGCAATTGACTCGCAAAGAAGAATCGATATACATTGAAACGACTGGAACCGATACATTTTTCACCCCAAAACTTACTTGTATCGTCAAAATTCAGTCATGGTGTACTTCTTTTGTTTTCTTTTCAAGTGCCACTCATATTGTACTCGAATTGTGAAGATAAAGGCAATGTTTCAAACGTATAAATATCTTAAAGACACTTAGGGTGTGTTCATTTCGGTGAATCCAAAAACGGATTTTAGATCTAAGAACGGATTTCGCGTTCCTTTCGGCAAATCCAAATCCGGATTTTTGATCTGGTGAATCCTTTTTGAAAAAGGATTCATTGGATTTGAAATCCGAAGAATCCAAATCCAGATTAACGGATTAGTGATCTACACTGTTCCATTGACAGTGGATTCGAAATTAGTCAGATGATCTAGCTGTATTTCCAGTTGAAGTATTCCCATAGAGGCCGTAGAGTTTCCTTGTTGCTGTCATTTGCCGCAAAACATCTGAAAACATTAGAAGATTCTTCCTGGTACATTAAAATATCCATACACTAACCATTTGTCTTAAAAGATTGCTTGAAATCAGAAATAAGTAAAACTAACAAATGAACTGCTATCTAACTACAAACTCGCTTGTAGACGCGACAGGCACTCGATTACATAAAAAAATCCGAGCTATGGAACTGGATTAAACTGGCCCACATTCTTTAGATAATTTTCAATTTTAATGGGCTTCTTTCTTTGTCTGTTTTATATGTTCCATCGGCGCTATTTGAACTGCCGACCACTAAATTCTGCACGGTATAATCGCATAATTTGTCAAACAGTAGAAAACACGTCATTTTTTGAGAGGCTGTCGTGCATATTGCACGCGTTGGCGAAAGGTTACCAAGGTTACAAATCCAATTTCGGATTTCACGTTCCTTTCGACCGCGAAATCTGGCAAATCTAGGATGAAAAATCCGTTTTTGGATTCGCCGAAAGGAACACACCCTTAGTCTGCTACACAGCCGTTTTTAGTGTCGTCACGCAACGCTCCTCCCCACTAACGGCTGCTGAAATTCGAACTACATTCCTTTCCTGTGATTAGCCAATTATAATTCAGCTCCCATTTTCTGGAAGGTGTTCGCGCGTTTGCGGTACTGTGACTCTTCCAATCACAGCTTTGCTTTTATCGGTGCCCCATGTGTGAATGGCAGAATAATCAAAACGTCGCGTGAAAACAAGCAGTTAACTAGAGCAGTGTTGTCGTAGTCGAGTCCTATTTAAAATTTAGGAGATAAGCAGCAGCAGCAGGCAAGTCGAGTAAATTGCGATGCACAACATGGATGTGCTCATAAAGTTACCAGGTATAGTTCGGGAAATCGCTCATCGATAATTTAAAAGATTGCTTTTTGAATCAGCACCCCTGAGAGTTTAGTCTTCACAGGAACACAATGAGCACATCCGGCACATTTAAATTATTCATTACATATCAGTACATATGCACATTAAATGAAGAACCAACCGATCCTTGTAAAAGTCTTCTAGGCCTATCAAACCTTTTTTTTACTTGGAACTTTCTTGACCGCTTAAAACAAACTTGTTTTGCAAATTCACCTTTTCGTTGCTTGAAAACACAGAGCCAGTCTAAATTCAGCGACGATTGATTGATTTGTCGAAAACTGAGAAGCGTGCTCGCTTCCTAGCGCCCCGCGGCTCACGTATTCTCAAACTTCTTGTACATGATTGGCTTGTTCGTTAGACCACAAACACAAAGGGAAAGGAATGTAGTTTGGTTTTCAGCAGCCGTTTGTGGGGAGGAGCATTGCGTGACGACACTAAAAACCGCTGTGTAGCAGACTAGAAGACACTCTCCGCGAAGCTCAGCGAACGTTCCTTCGAATCAGGGCGGATAAAGGTTGGGCGGTGAAACGAGCGCGTTCGAGCAAAAAGCTGTGATGCAGTGGACTGAGACTCCGCTTAGAAATGTCGCTTGTTTTCGACTTCGGTCAGGGCTTGCGATATGATGTGGTTTGTACAGTAGGCTGCCGCTGTCACTGAATTATGGCGGCTTGAATTGTTTTCTTGCACTTCTTCCTCGTTCCTTTGTGCTGGTACGCTGTCTCCGAGAGGCACATGTTGCTATTTTTTTGCGGGAGGTTTAGTTGGAGTAAACATCTCTTTCAAAGGGTTTCTTTTATTACTTCTATGACTCTACCACTGAATTATATTTTGGTTCTACTCGCCAATTTCGATGTTATTCCAAAACAAAAACAACTAAGTACTGTCTACAACACGAAGGAAAATCTCATCCATGGCAAAACTAAAAGACAGGAGATCGTGTTTCATTTAATACTAGATGACGTGTATTTTATAAATGCGTGCAGCTCGTGCAAGGTGAAATTATGCTAATTTCAATCACCATCATCCTTCTTTTTAATTTGAAAAAAACATCTCAGACGTCTTTCTGTTTCTTCGAAACTTCAAAATTAGTTTTCCCTCAGTTTTTTTTTTTGTTTACCTTGTTTTGTTTTAGAGAGAAAAACGGAGAAAAAACCTTACAACTTACCTCAATAAATTTTGTTTACCTGCGGTTGCCGGATTTGCAACGCACTGAGCGAATCGCCATAGCGCGTTGCACCCGAGAAGCAAAGTTTGAAGAAGTACAACGCCACTATATCAATATATATCAATCGAATTTTTTGTTATGTTATATAAAATTTATCCTCCTTTAACATATGTAAAAATTGAGGTTAAGAAGTGTTAAGCTTTTCCAAACGAAACGGCGAACGACAATTAGGTGATATTTAGTGGAAGGAGGAGGTATTCAACACTTTCAAATTAAACTCAAATTTTGGCATTATACGACCAACAAGTTTGACTTATATAGACGTACAGACACAAACATATGAAACTGTTTATTGATATTGTCATGAAACGAATTTATCTATTTAACATGCATTGTAGCCTGAAATTACAGAAAGAAAATAGGATTTCCGGTTCGCAAAAAGGAAAATTTCGCCGGCCTTGAAGCGCACCGGAAGCGCGGAAAGAGCGCTCGTGCCAGTCCTACTCCGCATCACACGTTAAATGAAGAGCGGAGCGCTCGTTTCACCGCCCAACCTTTATCCGCCCTGCTTCGAATCTGTATCGCCCGCCAAAACCATATATGGAAGTTAGGTATTCTGTAAATGATTGATACATGACCGTATTAGGAAATCCACAAGATCCCGTATATGTTCCGACGGTACTGGAAGTCAGCGGTAATTCAACACCTTCATATATCGATTTCTTTCCTCGCACGTAAAGATGTCCGACGATGAGCGATGGTTTTGCTTCGAGTTCTCGTTCTATTTCTTAAGGTCCTCGTAAAAAAGGAGGTAAAACGACGGGTGCCTTAATTACATCCAGTATCTTTTACTGCCAAACGCAAAAATTCCACGAAAGACGTTAAAGAAATGACCAGAATGAAACTGTGCGACTTTGCCATTTCGCCCAGGGATCGGCGGATGATCTTCTTACGAAGGAAGTCGAATGAACAGCTAATGTGTGCCCTGTGTATCTAGAAACCTGTTATATACTTCACTCTGAAGCAATCTTTACATGATCTCAACTGTGTCCTTAATAGAAGAAAACTGATTTGATCTGAATAGTATTTTGAAGTTAAATTATACTTAAAGCATACTTTTAGCTTCCTTTTGTCTTGTAGTGATTTCAAGATCCGGACAAACCTTCCCAGATTCTCAGATGAGAATGTGTCTTTCAGTTTCAAAGTATACTTAAAGTACACTTTTCTTTGCGAAACTATTTTTCACAAGCACTGAAGTTTGAAAAAGTCTCGTTAATTTCCATAATACCTTTTACTAGTACTGATCCCAGGGCATTAAGCTCATATAAGTTAGATATATTATTGTAATTCTAATAGACCATTTTCGAGTTGACTCGAGCTTCTGTCTTAAAACTAGGCGAAGTGCGAAGCCTTTTGATTTGAAAATTAATTTTAAAGCTTAAGGAGAAAGGTTTGAGGATTGACCTCGTTTTGAAAATGAAAATTGATCCCATGAAATGGATATCATCCCTTGTAGAAATTAAGTATACTTTAAGTATACTTCAAGTATACTTTATATGTACTTCTCAGGAAAAAAGTACATTTAAAGTATACCTCGTTTGTACTTTCAGAAAAAAGTATAAATGAAGTACATTTGGCAAATGTACTTCATTTATACCTCAAATACTTAAGTACTTTTGAACAGAGGAAATTGATGTGAAAGAAACGTGGCTACGAAATATCTGAGTGTTTCAATTAAGGGATCTTGAAGTGTTACCTTTACATTTATCTTCTCCATCTTCAATATAACCTTCCTTGCAAGCACACCCGAAGGATCCTATAGTGTTATGGCACACGTTTCTAGTGACGTCACAGTTGTGTTTTCCTGTGTTACACTCGTTTATGTCTGAAAATCAATATTTAATGCTGAATTATCAAACTGAATCAGTTCGATTCTTATGTCTATTGAATGAGGCAATGCTTTTGAGTAGCAGAAATATTACACGAATATCTTAATCTGCAGTTTTGGAAATAAAGCAGTTGCAGTGAACTATAATTCAATTCATGCCACTTGTAACAAAATCCCAGATAAAATCAGAGACAAATGATTATCCAAAGTTTTACATGTTGCAAGTTATGTTATTTATGAAGAATGAGCCTGCTAAGAATAAGAAACAACTATTTTGACGGCACGAGATACAACAGGGCCTGGGTGTTAAACCAGGGGCACCAGTTCACAGTAAGTTCTTTCTTTCCAATATTATTTTTCTCCACTTCCGCAATTTTTCAGTGATTGAATTCAGTCTGTACATATGTGTTTTTTTTTCTTTTCTTTGTTTATTTGTTCGTTTGTTTTTTACATTGTTTTGTACTTGTGCCTCGATGAAACAACCTCTTAAAAATTCTTAATTAATCTAATGTATAGATTTAGCCAGGGCTAAAAGCGAAGCCTCCGTTTCTATACTTATGATAAAAGCAATCAAATTAAAGTAATAACATGAACTCTAAGCCAAAAAAAAGAAATCTTCACATCCCTAAGAGCCTTCGGCATCAGACACCTTTAGAGGGAGGGACTAAATGATTAAGAAAAAATATCCCGCAAACAAACCTGAATTGAAAACAATGTTATATTGTAGGTCTCTTAGTAGCAGCAATTTACAGATTACGATTTCTAGGGTCGGTGTGTCTGTGTTTAAGGGAAGACCTAAAAGGAAAATCAGGCCGACTTAAGGACTTTTGTCTTCCCGTAAGCCCATTATCTTTTCTTTTCTTTCTTTTAAACCCCGGACGAACAGTTATGTGTAGCCTTTACATTTATACCTCACAACATCTGAAAGAAAATTTTACCGTAAGGTGTATAATATTTTCTCTGAGGACAGGCATAGAAAGCAAACGATAACCTTTTTCGCTACCTGTAAGGGACTGTGCAATAATTATCAGGAGGGGGGACCCTAAAACCAGAGGGGGGGGCCTTAAGTTAAAATAATAGAAAGGAGGGTGGGGCTCTACATTAGATTTCTCAAGTAAGTTGAGGGGGGGTCTTAATTAAATTTCACAAATTCGATAATGAATAAATAAACATTTTCCAAATAGACAGATGCCACTCCTTTGACTATCCATAATGTCTAAATATTGCATCAACATAAACACATGCTTTAACTTATTTAGAATGTCAACAGATGATAGATTGAAACAATCGTCCATGCACAGAAGTCACAAACCACGTTGTGAGCTTTGCCAATAAAACATTTGGCATTTAAGAGGTCCCGCAGACATGCCAGGTCTGTTCTTGTTTTAAACAGCGAGAGGGTTTCTAGGTCTACAGTTTCTAGCTGAGGAATGCCACATGCTTCTGTTTCATAGTTGTCATCACTTCATAGAGCACCAAAAATTCCTTGCAATGAAAGCAAAAAAACGGGCAACGGAAAGGAACAAACTTCCAGACATTAATTGGTCCGACGAGGTTGAAGTCAACTCGCTGTCTGCAAGTAAACTGAAACTCTACCTAAAGGAACACGGTTTACTAGTCAGCGGAGGGAAAGCAGTACTCGTAGCTTGTGTTCTAGGTGCTGGGGAAGCTCAAGGTAAAGAAAACCCGGATGAGCAGCAATCTAGCAGTTCCGAAGACCAAGAAGATAATGAACAATCAGACGATTCGAAATTGACGATTATGAAGAACAAAGTTTCGAGGTGCTCTTCATCCCTGACCACGCCGTGGAATGCGTTGTAGTACAGTGAATAAAGGTACGGGTTAGAGATGGGGGAAGGGGGGGGGGGGGGCACATCATAATTTTGAGAGAACGTGAGGGGGGGACCTATCTAATTTTTCCTTTGGTGAAGCTCATTTTAGGACCCCCCCTTCCTGATAATTATTGCACAGTCCCTAACTATAATCCAATCTTTCACTACAAAATATAAACTTACAACTTTTTTTCATTAAAAAAAAAGACAAACTCGAGCTCGAAAAGCCGGCGAGTTTGTCCGTTTTAGAATAGAGGAAAACTCTTTCATTTTTTAAGATAAGCACACTGTTTCAGTGGGAATATAAAGCCGTAAACAAACAACAGAGAACAAACCCAGTAAACTTAATTCAAACGGTATTCAGCTGTAATCAGGGCACAAATTATGGAAAAAGAGCAGCGCGCTGCACACTGCAAAACTGCAGAAATTCTTGAATTCTACACACTGCAAAATTCTTGAATGGCAAGTAATGAATGAGAAAATGAATAGCAATTCAATGCGGAACATGTACAAACAAAACTTCGGTTTTAATTCAAGAAAGGGTCCGTCTGAATGTTTCTAAAAATCTCACGATCTGTAGTCTCATGGTCGTTTTTTGAACTTTTGTTATGAATGAAAAATGACAGATAAATAACTTAATTTCTTAAAAATTTTATTAAAAAACCCATAAGTTAATTCTAAAAAGTCTAAAAAGCAATTCGCGTAAGACAAGTTAAATCGTCGCGTTCACGCAAGTTAAATTGGTCGAGCACATGGCAAAAAATCAATTTCAAAAGCATATTTTGTGGTTTTTCTTTCACGCCGATGTCAAAATGTACAAACCGTCCATGAAACCTTTAAAATACAAAAATTCCCCTTTAAAAACGTAGTTTTGTTTGATCATAGAGTACGGAATGTACCTCAAGTGTCCTCAGGGAAACCACGCTGCCTTGTTGGTTCAAAACAAGTCAAGCGCTCCGATCCGTAGAAAACAAGGTTGAATTCCTCGAAAAACAATGTCATAGCGAATCCTCAGGAAACTGAGCATTCTTTTGAACTTTCTTCCATTTGTGTTTTTATCGGCGTATTTTCAATCTTGAAATGCAAAACTTTAGTCTTGTAAACAACCACTTGATGAACGCGCGCCAGCCATTTTGTTGTTGGATGACATTTACTACAGTGTCAAATCCGTTTCTTCCCTCACCCCCTAAAATAATGGTTGACATGACCATTGGACGTTTTCGGGGGAGTCGGGTATGGGTAATTTTACTGATTTAGTTTGAGAATTTTTTCCCAAACCTCTATGGAGTTAGAAATTTTTTTTCCCGAGAGATAACGGTGTAAGAGTTTTTTTCAGCGTTATACGTCATGAGCGATATTTTTTTCAGTGCAGGATGTGTTTTTTCCCAGGAATTTATTTGCATGTTTTTTTTTTTTCTCCCGAAATCAGCCTGCAGGACATTTTTTTTTCTGAAATCACCCATAACCCCTCAAAAGTCAAATGGTCGGCCCCTAAAATCCAGCAAACATTTGGTCAGTTGACAGATTTTGATTTGTCAATAATTTCTGAAGGCTTTTGAAACAATAAGGGACAAATTTCTCAAGGGAGAGGGGAGGAATTCGTTTGTACTTACCCCTACCCGGAAAGTCCGTACGGTCGTCCATACGTCATAACCAAATTTTCTCGCATGGGTAGTTTACCAAATGTTATTACCCATGGTGCTCCGCTGCGGGCGCTTCGCGCGCGGAGGCTCCACTATAATGCCTCCTAGCTAGATTATCTTTTTAGCTATAGGAGGCTTGTACCTTACATAAGTAGTTTGTTAATGTCTTTTTTTCTGCGTGTCAGGTACAAATAAAGTTCTTGTCTTGTTGTCCATACCGGGAGTATAAAAAGGCTACGTATAAACATCGCGTGTGCGCCATCTCGGCTTCTGAAACAACCTTTCTTTGGTTTTCTTAATTTTTTTCGTTTATTTTAGGAGCGGTCTTTTTCGATTAACTTTAATTTAAAGTCCTGTAGAAACGTCTTTGAGCTTGAGGCATGGTTCCTCTCCACATTTCCCGCCCGCTTTTTTTTCCTTCGTAGAGTTTGGGAGGTTTCCTTTTCTGGCCTCTGGCTGACCGCATTTATTTCTGTTGGTAGCTCAGCTCTGCCAGTTTTCTAAATTTTGTCATCTCTTTTGTTTATTTCTACGGTTAGGGCCGTTTTTCATCTGTTCCTTATCTTATGTAGTTAGTCTTAATGTACGCTTAGGTCAGCTGTCCCAGGAGCGCTCTTAAGTGGCGACATAAGTCAACGATTGACGCAGTCAAATTGGCAATGCTACAGACCCCAAGCCACAATCTTAATAAACACCTGTTTACCTTAAATGCTGCACCCTAACCGTTTCTAACAGCCTAGCTGGCTATTGGCCTTCGTGCCTTGTTAGGTATATTAGTGAAGATGATCTCGTTATGTCAAAGATAGATCCCAAGTTTTTCTGTCTCTAAGCCTTTGAGCTTGGTGTTTCCTCTCCCAGACATAATGTTGGTCGCACTTTTTGTTTCCCCAGCCTAACTGGCACTAAGCTTTATTGCGGATACAGTTCGAGCTCTGCCAGTTAAGTTGTAGCAGTTATTATTATTCCCTTTTTTGAAAGCAAGAATACAAATGTTGCCTTTTCGCTGTATTAACATACGTACATTGCAGCGTTGGCTTTAAATTTACTTTTTGGGGCGGTTAAAATTATTTCCGTTGCTATTGATTTCTGTGGGAAAATTAGAGGCCACAACCTTACACGTACCAAGGCCAAAACTCTTTTCGTAGATACAACCTGTGACATACCACTGACTGAATATGGAAACACGTTTCTACCTTTCCATTTGGCTGTATTATTTTTTGGCATGAAATAGCATATGACTTAAGATATAATCTTGTTCGTTTCAGCTCCATATTTTGTTACCTGCACAGTTGACGCCGTCCCCAGTATTTCCTGGTTTGCAAGTACACGTGAAGGAACGCTTGGTGTTGGTGCAGTATGCATCATCGTGGCAGTTATGTAGTCCTGCTTCACACTCGTCTACAAATCAGCAAGTTAAAGTTAGTTATAAGAATTTCCTTGACTAATAAACGTTTGCTCCTCTAAGCACAAACAACTGATATCATGATCTGCTGATTAAAATTCATTGAGAAAACGTTGGTATCAATACTCCAAACAATTTAGCGCACCCTAAGTCTTCATTTAATAACAACGTAACAATTTCCCATGAGGGTTCCTACAAATGCCCACCTCTCACAAAATGGCTCATGGAGTAGAAATAATTTATCTAACGTGGTACCATTAAATTCCAAGTCGGAAAATTTTGTGCCGGTTTTTCCAAAAAAAAAAAAAAAAAAACTAGCATAAACGTTTTCGGGAGCTTTCTTGCTTTCTCTTTTATTCTATACATACTAGTCCAACTTATAGGCTTTCTCCTCACGGATTTGGGCTATTTAGCTTTACGGAATAGGGGAAATTCAAACTGGGAAGAGTAGTAGCGAACAGCGAGATTTGCAGTGGATTTTTACCCAAAATGTTTGTCTAAAACTATCACAAGATTAGTCAGCATTTCTATCATAAGGTAGCAGTGTTCCAAGTTTTGTAACCTCCGCAATCTGGTTAGCTCAGTCGGAAGAGTGCCGGTCTGCTGAGCCGGCGTTTGCGGATAACTAAGGGACTGTGCAATAATTATCAGGAGGGGGGCCCCTAAAACCAGAGGTGGGGGGGGCTCTACATTAGATTTCTCAAGTAAGTTGAGGGGGGGTCTTAATTAAATTTCACAAATTCGATAATGAATAAATAAACATTTTCCAAATAAGACAAATGCCACTCCTTTGACTATCCATAATGTCTAAATATTGCATCAACATAAACACATGCTTTAACTTATTTAGCCCGGGGGGGGGGTACTCCCTTATAAGGGCTTAATGGGGACGTGCGGCGAGCCAGGGTATGTTTTTCGGGATTTTTGTCTTAAACAGAGTATCGAATTTATCATTTTTTGTCTTAATCAGGGTATCGATTTATCAATTTTTGTCTTACACAGTATATCTTTTCTTGGACGATAAACAGCAAAATTTTTACAGGCTCTAATGTTAATTAATATTGACTTTCGTTGACTTAAACAGGGTATCAAAAATCGGAATTCTGTCTTAAACAGGGTAGGAAAATCAACGATATTTGTCTTAAACAGGGTCAGGGTATGAGGGGCTGGAACGCAGCTCCCCACCAAGGGATGTATCGAGTACCCCCCGGGTTATTTAGAATGCCAACAAATGATAGATTGAAACAATCGTTCATTTACAGAAGTCACAAACCACGTTGTGAGCTTTGCCAATAAAACATTTGGCATTTAAGAGGTCCCGCAGACATGCCAGGTCTGTTCTTGTTTTAAACAGCGAGAGGGTTTCTAGGTCTACAGTTTCTAGCTGAGGAATGCCACATGCTTCTGTTTCATAGTTGTCATCACTTCATAGAGCACCAAAAATTCCTTGCAATGAAAGCAAAAAAACGGGCAACGGAAAGGAACAAACTTCCAGACATTAATTGGTCCGACGAGGTTGAAGTCAACTCGCTGTCTGCAAGTAAACTGAAACTCTACCTAAAGGAACACGGTTTACTAGTCAGCGGAGGGAAAGCAGTACTCGTAGCTTGTGTTCTAGGTGCTGGGGAAGCTCAAGGTAAAGAAAACCCGGATGAGCAGCAATCTAGCAGTTCCGAAGACCAAGAAGATAATGAACAATCAGACGATTCGGAAATTGACGATTATGAAGAACAAAGTTTCGAGGTGCTCTTCATCCCTGACCACGCCGTGGAATGCGTTGTAGTACAGTGAATAAAGGTACGGGTTAGAGATGGGGGGAAGGGGGGGGGGGGGGGGGGGGCACATCATAATTTTGAGAGAACGTGAGGGGGGGACCTATCTAATTTTTCCTTTGGTGAAGCTCATTTTAGGACCCCCCCTTCCTGATAATTATTGCACAGTCCCTAACTATAATCCAATCTTTCACTACAAAATATAAACTTACAACTTTTTTTCATTAAAAAAAAAGACAAACTCGAGCTCGAAAAGCCGGCGAGTTTGTCCGTTTTAGAATAGAGGAAAACTCTTTCATTTTTTAAGATAAGCACACTGTTTCAGTGGGAATATAAAGCCGTAAACAAACAACAGAGAACAAACCCAGTAAACTTAATTCAAACGGTATTCAGCTGTAATCAGGGCACAAATTATGGAAAAAGAGCAGCGCGCTGCACACTGCAAAACTGCAGAAATTCTTGAATTCTACACACTGCAAAATTCTTGAATGGCAAGTAATGAATGAGAAAATGAATAGCAATTCAATGCGGAACATGTACAAACAAAACTTCGGTTTTAATTCAAGAAAGGGTCCGTCTGAATGTTTCTAAAAATCTCACGATCTGTAGTCTCATGGTCGTTTTTTGAACTTTTGTTATGAATGAAAAATGACAGATAAATAACTTAATTTCTTAAAAATTTTATTAAAAAACCCATAAGTTAATTCTAAAAAAGTCTAAAAAGCAATTCGCGTAAGACAAGTTAAATCGTCGCGTTCACGCAAGTTAAATTGGTCGAGCACATGGCAAAAAATCAATTTCAAAAGCATATTTTGTGGTTTTTCTTTCACGCCGATGTCAAAATGTACAAACCGTCCATGAAACCTTTAAAATACAAAAATTCCCCTTTAAAAACGTAGTTTTGTTTGATCATAGAGTACGGAATGTACCTCAAGTGTCCTCAGGGAAACCACGCTGCCTTGTTGGTTCAAAACAAGTCAAGCGCTCCGATCCGTAGAAAACAAGGTTGAATTCCTCGAAAAACAATGTCATAGCGAATCCTCAGGAAACTGAGCATTCTTTTGAACTTTCTCTTTCCATTTGTGTTTTTTATCGGCGTATTTTCAATCTTGAAATGCAAAACTTTAGTCTTGTAAACAACCACTTGATGAACGCGCGCCAGCCATTTTGTTGTTGGATGACATTTACTACAGTGTCAAATCCGTTTCTTCCCTCACCCCCTAAAATAATGGTTGACATGACCATTGGACGTTTTCGGGGGAGTCGGGTATGGGTAATTTTACTGATTTAGTTTGAGAATTTTTTCCCAAACCTCTATGGAGTTAGAAATTTTTTTTCCCGAGAGATAACGGTGTAAGAGTTTTTTTCAGCGTTATACGTCATGAGCGATATTTTTTTCAGTGCAGGATGTGTTTTTTCCCAGGAATTTATTTGCATGTTTTTTTTTCCTCCCGAAATCAGCCTGCAGGACATTTTTTTTCTGAAATCACCCATAACCCCCTCAAAAGTCAAATGGTCGGCCCCTAAAATCCAGCAAACATTTGGTCAGTTGACAGATTTTGATTTGTCAATAATTTCTGAAGGCTTTTGAAACAATAAGGGACAAATTTCTCAAGGGGAGAGGGGAGGAATTCGTTTGTACTTACCCCTACCCGGAAAGTCCGTACGGTCGTCCATACGTCATAACCAAATTTTCTCGCATGGGTAGTTTACCAAATGTTATTACCCATGGTGCTCCGCTGCGGGCGCTTCGCGCGCGGAGGCTCCACTATAATGCCTCCTAGCTAGATTATCTTTTTAGCTATAGGAGGCTTGTACCTTACATAAGTAGTTTGTTAATGTCTTTTTTTCTGCGTGTCAGGTACAAATAAAGTTCTTGTCTTGTTGTCCATACCGGGAGTATAAAAAGGCCACGTATAAATATCGCGTGTGCGCCATCTCGGCTTCTGAAACAACCTTTCTTTGGTTTTCCTAATTTTTTTCGTTTATTTTAGGAGCGGTCTTTTTCGATTAACTTTAATTTTAAAGTCCTGTAGAAACGTCTTTGAGCTTGAGGCATGGTTCCTCTCCACATTTCCCGCCCGCTTTTTTCCCTTCGTAGAGTTTGGGGAGGTTTCCTTTTCTGGCCTCTGGCTGACCGCATTTATTTCTGTTGGTAGCTCAGCTCTGCCAGTTTTCTAAATTTTGTCATCTCTTTTGTTTATTTCTACGGTTAGCGCCGTTTTTCATCTGTTCCTTATCTTATGTAGTTAGTCTTAATGTACGCTTAGGTCAGCTGTCCCAGGAGCGCTCTTAAGTGGCGACATAAGTAAACGATTGACGCAGTCAAATTGGCAATGCTACAGACCCCAAGCCACAATCTTAATAAACACCTGTTTACCTTAAATGCTGCACCCTAACCGTTTCTAACAGCCTAGCTGGCTATTGGCCTTCGTGCCTTGTTAGGTATATTAGTGAAGATGATCTCGTTATGTCAAAGATAGATCCCAAGTTTTTCTGTCTCTAAGCCTTTGAGCTTGGTGTTTCCTCTCCCAGACATAATGTTGGTCGCACTTTTTGTTTCCCCAGCCTAACTGGCACTAAGCTTTATTGCGGATACAGTTCGAGCTCTGCCAGTTAAGTTGTAGCAGTTATTATTATTCCCTTTTTTGAAAGCAAGAATACAAATGTTGCCTTTTCGCTGTATTAACATACGTACATTGCAGCGTTGGCTTTAAATTTACTTTTTTGGGGCGGTTAAAATTATTTCCGTTGCTATTGATTTCTGTGGGAAAATTAGAGGCCACAACCTTACACGTACCAAGGCCAAAACTCTTTTCGTAGATACAACCTGTGACATACCACTGACTGAATATGGAAACACGTTTCTACCTTTCCATTTGGCTGTATTATTTTTGGCATGAAATAGCATATGACTTAAGATATAATCTTGTTCGTTTCAGCTCCATATTATGTTACCTGCACAGTTGACGCCGTCCCCAGTATATCCTGGTTTGCAAGTACACGTGAAGGAACGCTTGGTGTTGGTGCAGTATGCATCATCGTGGCAGTTATGTAGTCCTGCTTCACACTCGTCTACAAATCAGCAAGTTAAAGTTAGTTATAAGAATTTCCTTGACTTCAACGTTTGCTCCTGTAAGCACAAACAACTGATATCATGATCCGTTGATTAAAAATCATTGAGAAAACGTTGGTATCAATACTCCAAACAATTTAGCGCACCCTAAGTCTTCATTTAATAACAACGTAACAATTTCCCATGAGGGTTCCTACAAATGCCCACCTCTCACAAAATGGCTCATGGAGTAGAAATAATTTATCTAACGTGGTACCATTA